TCTTAAACCATTGTAAGTCAGTGACCCTCTGTATCTGGTTCAAGATGCTGCTTTGTACTTGCTCAAATAGAGCATTTGCTTCCTGGTATGAAGGTTCTACTAACTGCTTGCCTGTATAGCTAAAGATCCTCTGAGTGGGTTCTCCTCCTAGGGCTGCTCGATTGCCAGGTTTGCGTGGCTCACACTGAAACCTTCAGGAATGAGCTGCCCCTGGGCTGGGTCCACATGGTCTCCCCTGCGTGGAGGGGGCTGATTTTCCAGGTGGCAAAGGACAGCTTCTTGTCTCCAGATATTTTCGTCTCACCACCCATTCCCATCCCTTGCTCCTGAAACATCTTCCTGCATAAAATAGGAGCCAGCTGAGTGGCCGGAAGTGATACCCCACCAACCCAGTGAGGAGCCAGAAGCCACAGCTGGGGTGTTGAGTCACGAGTAGGCAAGTGGCAACTAGATACGGTGACCTGGGCGCAGGATGAGCTGGTTTTGCCTCGGTCTACAGATGGGAAGGCGGGCCCAGGGTTTAGGTGACTGGCCTAAGCTCACACAGCTGGTTCACGGAAGAGCCAGGTTTGGAAAGGAGCCCAGTGGTTTTCTGCTGTCTTCACCACCTTGTCAAACTCGAGGCCTCGCTGGCCTTGACTGTGTCTCATGCCTCAGGAGGTGAGCTGATTCTGAACGCTTGGAAGTGATGTGCACGAAGGCGACACAGCCTTTGCAGCGGGAGGAATGCGGCCCATCCACCCTCCTCCTCTCCCAATCTTGTCTGTCGTGTGTGGACTCTGTTTCTCTCAGAAGCTGTCTTGGAGACGCCATTAGCATCTCCTGCAAGCCAAGGTGGAAGCTGGCACCTCTGGGGAAGGGGACATGACCTGGGGTGCGGCAGTGGCTTTAGGGGGCAGCCTGTAGCCAGGTCTCTCCTGCCTGGCCGCTGGTGGGAACAGGGCCTGAGGGGGGTTGGGTCCAGGCTGTCAGTTGTCCGCACTGTTTGCCTAGAGGATGCTAAGATAAGCCTTTTCTACATTCTGACTTTTACTTCATGGGTTGTTTTTCTCTCTATATTTGCCTCAAAGTTTGAAACAAATTGAGAGCACTAGCTTGGCCTTTAAAATTTGAATGTGTTTACTGAATTCTTTTCTAAAAATGGGAGCGGGGGCAGGAGGCATCTTTGCAAATCATTTTCCTATGACTTAGAGCATCTTATCTAACAACTGGTCCCATGACTTAAAAATATGATACATAGGAATACAGTAGCCCGTTTTTAATTTTAAGGAAAAACAATCTCTAGTAAATATTAATGTAACAGACTTCTTTTATGAGATAGTGCATGTGAAGAGGCAAATTTGAAAACAGAGCGAAGCTTATGGTGCTGGTGTTTGTGCCACATGGGGTTATGATTTGGAGTCATGCTTTATCCTGCTGCCCACCTGCACCCACAGGAGTTGTTAGTGTTTGGAAACTGAACAGATGTTTCACTTGTTTACCTGTGGGGTGTTTTCTAATCCGGTATCAAGTTTGCTGCCCCCATTGAAATATGGGCATTCTGCTTGGGTCATGATATGCAGGTGGAGGCCTGGGAATGAGGTGCTGGGCTGGCAGGACTGGGCAAGTTTTCTGTGCGTGGATCAACAGCGACGTCTGTGTGAGGCTCAGAGCCTTGTCAGTAGATGGAGCTATGAAGCAGTTTTTTGGTTCTAAAAAAAGTGAGTGCTTTAACTGCCCACCCTCCCCAGCAAATCCTGCTGTCACCTAGAATTTAGGGGACTAGGTACACTTTTACATATTGGTGTCACTAAATTAGCCTCTGTAAGTCTTGACTCAATCTAACAATGTGATAAGCTGTAACAGCTCTTCATCTATGGTAGTAAGAACAAACAAAATCGGTCTCAACAGTACTAATATAAATGTCTGATGGCAGGGGAATGGAATGGTTGGGATGACTTATCAGCTGAACAAAAGACCACAGAGCCACTGAAATGTAAGTGTGCAGTTGTGCTAATCTGTGGGAATGGAAATGATCAATGAGGACACAAAATAGATGAACATGCAATTGCAGCTTTATAAAAAAAAATCAGAAGTGAAATGAAAAGATGAAAATAGTTTACTATTTGTCAAGGGTTCTAAATTTTCCTGTAAAGTTGCTCAAATTTTTTAAAAATTGAAGTAACGAGACTGATTTTCTTTCACTGCCCCAGTTGGTCTGAAGAATTGTGCTGAGTAGTTCTGAGAGTTGACCAAGTAGCACAAAGCAGGGGGCTCCCTGACCTGCCAGATGACCGGGCTGAGTCATACTTGGGGAAATTTTAAAGTGCAGGTTCCCCCAGGTTCCACCCCAGCGCCAGCCTAGTGAGGAGAGTTCTGTATTTCATGGACTCTCAAACGTCAGCAATTATAAGACACACCTTTATTTTGTAAAACGGTAAGAAAAATGTGCCAGCTGGAACTATGAAAACGCCTATCGTTTAGACTTTGTATTTATTGAAAGTCTAACAGACTTCTTTATGCAGATTTTCATCATATCGCACTTAATTCATACACAAAAAGGAAAATGTGAGAGATAGTCCTAAAACTTCATTGTGATTCCAACGTTCTGAACTACATTTTGACCCAGAGTTGTCCTTGTCCGTGTTTTCCCAAGCAGTGTCATCCTCTGCGCTGCGGTGAGCACTGGTGATGCAGTACTTCTGAAAAGCATACTCTACTGCTGGCTCCAGAATTTTACTCTAAGCTGCTGACACTCATTCTACAAGATCTGACGCTGGGCTTTATTGACCTTACCAGGAGTCAGGCAATGACAACCACATGACAACTGCCACCTCCTGAAGGCGATTATGAGATGCATGAGCTTACACGTGAGAACAGGAGCATCTTAGCTTCTGTGCAGTGTGGTCCTTTGAAGGAGCCAGCGCTCTGCTTGGATGTCTCAGTCAGACCCAGTGTTTAATAGTCTGATTATGTCACGTTACCTCTCGAATAAGGCTTCGTGACATCCAGTTAGCGGGGACGGATTCCATTATTGGGCGACTTTGAAAAAAATAAACAGACCTCACTGCTGTAGTGCATCAAACACGAATTTGTAGTCTTGGTGTTAGGGGTGAAGGGCCTAGGTGTTCATACTTCGTGCGTGTGGTACGTAGGCACTGTAATTACAGTTAACGTTGTCTTTGGAAACTGGCGTCATGTCATTATATCTTTATAGTGTTTCATATTAGATTTCTGAAAAGAACTGTATGATTTGCTAGATTTCCAAATGACAGGTGGCTACACGAGGAAGTAGACTGCCTGGTTGGTCCTGACCGTGCACAGGACATAGCATTCTTGCAAATGCTCAGCCTTTGGGAAAGCTCTTGGTGAAGATCTTTTCCCTCCCAGAGCGACTGGGAAGCTTCTGTGGATGGGGACTCGCCTCGGGTCTCAGCCACGGGCTTCACCCAGGCCTGCCTGAACTAGGGGGAGTGGAGCCATGTCTCCACTTTCTAAAGATTCCAGCCTATGGCCTGTTGTGACTTTTTTTTTTTTTTAGGGGCGGGGCAGGAAGTGGTGGTTCCTAGCCTCAGACAACCGTGAGCTCTTTTCTTCCGCAGTCTTGACAGACATGTCTATTGTCATAGTAACGTTGGCGTCAGGAGGAAGGGGCCATGGGTCAGTGATACCCAGAGCCATAGGGAGGGCCGGTTGTAAGATATCGGTCTTCTAGCTCATTTCATCTTCATTGAGGTTTCCAGGGATGGGGGAGATTGGTGACAGAAGTAAATGTGATAGGGCACTAGTCTTTCTGATATCAGAATGCCCAGGACAGTCAGGCTAGGCACAGATGTGTTATCCGTACCAAAGTAATTTAGAAGAATTTCCTAGAACGTCTGCCTTAAAAAGAGCAGCAACTGTGGTGTGGCAAGGGCAGACAGAGCATTTAAAGTGTACGTGACAGAGTTAAAACCCCAGCAGAGCTCATCTAAACTTCATTTCCACAAAAGGCTAAGGCTTTCCCACGTCTTGCCTGAGTCCTTCCTCACGATGGACCATACACCTGTGGGGTGGGAGCTGGCCTATTGCTTTGTCTTTGACACTCAGAGCCCGGCTCCCAGGGATTGGAATCTGTTCATGTAGATTATATGTTTCTCCTGATAGGCTGAGTAGTTGGGAAACAGTGTGACATTAACACCAGTTAAACCAGCCAGCAGGGAAGGATTCTTTTTGAGAAAAACAAGCCTCTGAATTCCACAAACCCCTGGACTGAGATACTGAATGCAGGGGTGAGAACACACCTGAGAGACGGTAAGTGCAACTCACCTTTTTTTCCTATGGTAGTGACACAGGAGAAAGGGAACACTTTTGCCCATTTTTCACATCCCCACAACTGCCGAGCAGCCTAGGTATATAGTTCAGACCACCAGAACCAGCCTAAGCTGAGCATATCATGGAAAACCCCCCAGCATTCTCTACATGATTGTGTTCCCCTAGTATCTCTCTCCAGCCTGTCCTAACGGGCTCACAGCTGCCCTTGGATCTCGTCGCCGAATCCTCCCAAAAGCATTTTTAATGTGCATCCTGCCTGAAAATGTAGTCTGAAACGTCTTGGACCTCTTAATCCAGTAATGAGCTTCATTGGTTGGTGACTGGAAACCCTCCTCAAGGCTTCATCCTGCAGCCCCGGATTGCTCCCTTCTCCATTAACAGTTGGCGCTCCAGCTCCAGCAGCCCTTTCCTTCCTGATGCAGCTACACACGGAGGCCACCGGTGAGAACAGGATCTGTCACCACGACTGCCCAGACTTAGCCTGTCATCCGACAGTTTCTGCGAGTGCAGTGCCCTCAGATAAAAGCAGCCTGGCTGTCAGCATTTAAACTCTCTGTAGCTTCCAACCTCCGATCAGACCACAGGTGGGAAATCGAGAACAGAAGGTGAGAAAACAGATTTCACATTCACATGATTATTCTTGTTTATTGAGGTCTGTTTATTCTCAACGGGTGCTTTTTCCTCCAAGTAAATAGAGCAGGCGTAAATATCTATAATGAATAAATTTATTGTCTTACAAAAATCATTGTCTAGAAATATGGGAATACAAGAAAAGATATTTGCAGTCAGGTGTCTGGTGGTCAACAGCCAGTACAATTCATAAAGGGGGAAAATCAAAGATTCCAAACCCACATGACAAATTCTTCCTAACAGATGTTAAAGCTTTTAACCCAAAAGGTTTGTGTTTTCAAGCATGTTGCAGAGGATCAAGGATTTATAATTAACACTGATTCATTGTCACTGAATGTTTATAATACCACTTTGACTAGAGAGGTACATGATATATGAAGCACAGTCAAAACTTAATACATTAGATTGTTACAGAGGCAAATAATATATTTAACATTGTCTTAGTACTGTAGTGTCTAAGGCACTTTCTGTAATGTCAGTTTGATTAACTAGCAACCAAAAACAGAATGCTAAATGTTCACTGTAACACTGTCCCAGGGGGGAGGGGAAAGGAGAAATCAAAAAGGAGTCACATCCACTGGCATGTCAACATTCAGGCAGGTGGCATCTGTTCTCGAGGTTCTGTCAACCTCATCAACAAACTTGGAACAAGTCTCGGACACAAAACCAATATTCCCATTTTGGGCTCAAAGCAGCGGCTGAATTTGCAAGGTCAGCATGAGAGCCTGGCTGGCGAGGGAGGGTATCGCCCGAGCTTCTGCTCCGGGGCCTGCAGCTGCTCGCTCCAGAAGCGAGGAGCACACGGGGGAAGCCGGGGCCTCCGGAGGCCCTCCTGCAGTCACTGTGATGGCTGCCCCCAGGGCCTCAGCTGGGTGGTGGCCGCTGTTCTTCCTATGCACAGACCGGGCCGAGGACAGTTCACGTGAAGAGAGGGGGCACACCACGACTCGAGGGAGGTAGGCATGGCCACCCCACACGGACGCCGCTTCCCCACATCCAACCCACCCCTCCTAATCTCTCCAAAGCCCCTTTCACAGTTTGCTCACTGAAATAGTGTTGATCATTATTTGAAGGAAATGAGAGCTACAAGTGCAGTTTAGGTTCCACAACGTTCTAAGAGACTTGACGTGGCTGAGGAGGCAGGGGCCACATGAACACAGAACTAAGGTTAAGGTAGCTGTCCGTAAGACAGAGCATGCAGAGCGACTGGGCAGCAACCCCGGGGCTGCCCCAGCGACCGGCAACGGGGTCTAGAGTTTGTTCGAAAAAGGGTTCTCTTCTTAACATGTATTATAAAATGGTCTCTTGATGGATATATGGAAAATAGACGCAATCATGAGACGATCTGTTTAGTATGTGTAGGTTTTGTGTATATATATATATATATATATATATATAAAAAGGGGAGCAATTGTACCTAAATCTGAAGCAGGAGACAGTCGTGTAGGCTGCAAGTCCTTAAGACACAGTTGATCTCTCAGGAGTCGTGCGGTTCGCCAGTCCCCCAGATCTGCAGGGGGCCCCAAGGCCGGGGCGCTGGGGGGCTTCCTGCCTGTCCCTCGGTATCGCCTCCGCCGGCTTCCTCGGATCTACTCAGACTGGGGCGGCTGCGTCTCATTGACATCACTGGTCTTACTTTCTGTGTCGTCATCCGACAGCTCCAGGGAAGCGCCCTCGATGTGCAGCTGGCGCCGGCCAGATCGGCTGGCGGAGAAGCTGATCGGGCCTCCTCGCCTGGAGAGCAGAGAAAGTGTGTGGGCACGACCACAGCAGCTCGTGGCTGGCAAGTCGTTCAACCACCTGACGACTCAACTTCCAGCCCTTCCTCAAGACGCACCAGCTGGGGTGGTGGGCAGATCAGGAACAGCTCCGTGCTTTCCCACCTCTCCCACACCTGCCTGCGGAACGTCATCCTGGGAGGGCCCCGGAGCCCTGGGGGTGGCTGGACTCAGCCCCCTGCTCACCATGGGCCAGCCTCTCCCCAAAGGGTGGAGAGTAAATGCTCTATTTAGGCTTTGTGGGCCACCTAAGGTCGCTGTTGAACACTCTTTGTCTTTTTACAGCCTTTATAAATATAAACACCATTCTTAGCTCCCTGGCTGTACAGGAGAGCAGGGCGCAGACAGGATCTGGCCCATAGGCCACGGTTTGCCAACACCTGTGCTAAGCTTTCCTTCTGGGGGAGAAGGTGTAGCCTTGGCTCCCCGTGTTCTGCCCTCACCCGGGACGCGGACAGACACCTGGGCTGGCTCCCAAGCCTCGAGCCATGTATTCGCACAGCCCACTAGCAAACGCGGAGCAAATGAGTGGGCCTGTTGCTCCTCCATCCTCAAGGACTACTGACGGTCAGGGATCCTGAACAGCTAAACAGGCAAGAACGAAGAGCTGGACAGGAGCCTGAGAAACCACTGCACCTGGAGCCCATGGACGCAGCTGTTTGCAGGCTCTGGGTGTGACCTCACGGAGGCCCGGGGCACTCACCTCAGCCGGTTCTTCAGCGTGCTGACCTCGCGGCTCAGGCCCTCGTTGGCCTCGGTGGCGTCATCCAGTTCCCGCTGGAGTTTGCGCCGAGACGCGTTGGCACGTGTGGCTTCTTCCTCTGCTTCCTCCAGCTGCCGTTTGAGCTGCTTCATCCTGGCGTTGGCCTTCTCCATCTCGGGGAAGTTACACGAACCAAGTCACACCAAACCGGTGAATCCAAATTTGGCATCGCTGCATCCTGAGAGCGTCAGCATAGGCCTCTGCCCTGCCAGCCACGCGAGTGCACACACGAGTGTACCCACACACACGGCAGGCGTATACACGTGCGAGTGCACTGATACACAAGACTGGGGCTTGGCACAAGGCCTTTTGACCAGCCTGCTATTCTCAGCAAAACCACGTCTATACAGCAAATTATGCTAAAGGAAACTTAAAAAAAAAAAACACACCCGCTTTTCATCCCTGAGTTTTCTGCAGAAAAATGACAGTTTAGTATCTTCACACGAGTGCCCTATGGGACTGTGAAAGGGAAGGGCTAGTCCCGCAAGACGCAGAAGAGCCAACAGTGTGAACAGTCTCCAACCCCAGGAGATGCTCCATTCATTTTACACCTCTGTTCAACACAGGTGTGTTGACGTTCTGTTTGATTCAAGTACAAAGCCACTCTGGAAGACCTGACAGGAGAACTCAGCCTGCCCACTGGATCCCTCACTCCTGAACCACAGAGACTGGCCAGTGCCCTGCGGGTCCAGGTCACACCCACCCAGAACTGCCCTCGGTGTTGCTAGGCCCTGAGCATGGGGGTGAGAAGGGAAGGCCAGGCTGGGTGCCCGACTGGAGCAGGGGAGGAGGAGAGGAGGAGAGGAGGATCTGGGCCAGAGGCAGTGGATCCTCAGCTCCAGCCACGGCGGCAGGTCTCAGAGAGGACCGAGAGCCAGAGGAGAACACAGCCCCCACCCAGGTTTTAGCCAGTGCAGACCTGACCACAGTCCAAAGCCCCATCAGCACATGCCCTTGGCACTGAGAAAACAGATGCCTGGACGCAGACAAGGAGGACCACTCGGGTTCCACACGCCATACATTTGCTTTCTCTTCCCTTTTCATTCAACAATGTATCCACCCCTCCATCCAGCCAACATTCAGTGACTGCCAGCTGTGCCCAGAACTATTCTAGGCATTCAAGAGATGACAGTGGGTGAAACAGGCAGAAATCTCTGCACTCATGTAGCGTCCATTCTAGTGGAGGAAACATGATAACTTTAAGGTCAGTCCAGGCCTCACACTTCAAGCCTTCCTGACGTGCTCTTGCCCACTCTGGGGCACTTGGGGGGACTCACGGGGCAGGGCCAGGTCCTAATCACCTCTGTATCCCCAGCACCCGGGAGTGAGTGGCAGGAACAAGGAACAGCACATGTTTGTTGAAACGTTAGAATGAAGAGTTGCAAATAGCTCTTCCTCATTCACCTAGTCAAATGGTAACATGGCTGGTTTTGCATCCGTCTCCTTGCTACAGCATTTAGAGTGGAAGACGTGTTCCTCCTACCTGCCTTCTGCCCTTACCTGTTCTTTATACTGGTCGGCGTGGCGGCGTTCATCCTCGACCTGCATGAAGATTTCCTTCAGCTTCTTCTCGGTGCGACGGACTAGTTTGTTGGCGGCTGCTCTTTCCCTGTGAAAATGATCAACACGTTAGTTTTCCCAATTCTTGAAATGAATATTTTTTTTAAGTCCTTTTCTCTGGAAGATGGCATTTGTTAGAGTGCTTTCCGGGACCTCTGTATCATCGTGATCAATATGGCCCAGAAACGTCTCCCTTCTGGTCAAACTGTGGATTGCCTTTAATGTATTCTAATGTTTGACAGGTAGAAAAACTGCATTATTCCTTCACCACGTCAATCACTTTGTTTAGTGATCTACCAAAGATCAAATGTTACATACAAGCTACCTGTCACGTATTTGAGTGTAGAGTTTTTGAAGACAAAAACCTTAGTTGGTTACTCTAATCTCCTAACTTTTCAGCCTGGAAAACAAAACAAAGACTCAATTTATTAGGCAATGGTTTCAATTTAAAATTTACTGACTACGTACGAAGACGCTAGAGCAGCTGACACTGAAACAACGCCCCCATCCCGCCACGCTCCACGTAGGAGTCAAAGCACCATGTTTCTAGACAGGCCTCCACTGTCCCACTGTCCCAGAGGTAGCTTATTTGTAGGACTCCACTGAAAACAGAAAAAGTTCTTTTGTTCCTCCACAAATGTTATGCAAAAACGATAGTGATGGAGTCAGCTGAAAGGGCGAGTCATGTTAATTACAACCAACAGCAAACAAACCCTTAACTGTTAGAGTTGAACGCAGGGGCAAGTCTGGGATGCCGGTTGCAGAGGATGTCAGGCTCTGAGCACAGACCCGCATTTCTGGGCTCCAAGCTCCCTGACAGGAGGGTGAGCTGAAGGGCTGCTCTAGCTCTGGCAGTCTGTGATTTCTATCCTCATAGATTCGTAAATGCCTGCCAAAGGCTGTGTTGTGCAACTCATAAACTTCAGAGCGGTTTACGACAACAGAACGGAAACTGTCGAGCAGTCCCTTCCTCAGGGAGAAAAAAAGCTTGTATTTTTGTCATACTGCATTTCTTCTCTGCCAACAAATTGTAGCATTTCACGTGATGCCACCAACTCGGGCAATCGACTTTGGGTAGAGATGTAAACTATGGAACCAGAAAGTCACAGGGCACAGTGCGATGAGCCCTCAGCTGTCTGGGAAGAGCTGACAGGTGAGCCCAGCGTACCCTGAGGGCTCACACCACCACCTCTCTGGTTACGTGTGTTCTTGTCATTCTTCCCCTGCCAAGGGAGCTCCCATGGGACAAGGGGCATGTCTGTGTCATCTCTGACTCACAGGCTAAAACCTGGACCTGGTCTGTAGCAGAGACACTGTAAAAACCTCTTACTTGGCCTCCTGCTCAAGCTGCTCCTCCAACTGCCCAATCTTGGCTTCCAGGGCTGAGATGGTGGCCTTGAACTTGGACTTGACAGCACCCTCCAGCTCCTGCAGCTTGGCCTTCAGCTCCTTGTTCTGCCGCTCCAGCTGCTGGCGCGCATTGTCGCTCTTCTGGGCGGCGCTGCGCTCGGCCGCCAGCTCTGCGTTCAGCGTGTCCACCTGGAGAGGAGATGGGTCAGTCGTGCGGGGACGGCGCGGCCCTCCCTGGGGCGGCCGCTGCGTGCCCACCTGCAGCGTGGTCTTGCGGAAGCGGTCGTTGAGCAACTCCATGTTGCTCTGCTCCTCTTCAAGCTCCTCCTCCAGCTGTGCTATCCGTGCCTCCAGACGCCGCTTCTCATCCAGCAGCGCAGACCTGCCGGGCGAGGAGGCAACAGCTCAGAACCGGTCTCCACGGTACGGGAAACTCGAGGGCACCTCCACCCACCCTGCTGCTGGAAGCCGAGCAGCACTGTTGACTTTTCTCTTTCCTCTGTTCCCACCCCAATCCGCCATGCCTAGCTGGTTACGCTTCCAAACACACCGCCCACTTCTCTCCATCCCCAGGCCTACCACCCAGGCCAGGCCCCATCATCTCTCGTCTGGACCGGTGTGCAGCCTTCCCGCTGACCGCCCTGCTGCCTTCTCCAGCTCTTCTCGGCAGCCAGTGTCAGCTTTAAAAGTGCAAAAACATCCTGGCATTCCCTAGCTTTTCTAGTGCACCGAGATCAAATGCCAGGTCCAAATGATGGCGTGCTAGAAAATGACCACGATGAATACTCAGTACAGTAATTGAATGGAGAAAGCAACCTCTTAATTGGGAAAAAAAAAAAAAAAAAAGGGCTTTTAATGAAAAATGCATCCAGGGTAAGGTAAGTCTAAGGAATGTGCTTGTCAAACCTAATGAATCTGAAAGCGAGGACTTGCATTGCAAGGCTGTGCACCCTATGGAAACCAGGCTGGTTCTGAATGTCTTTCCTGCACACCTATGTGGGCATGACTGGCACAGGGACGTGTGACCTGCCGGGGTTGTGCAGCCAGCCAGGGGCCGAGGCAGGCAGCCCGGAGGCTCAGCATCTCGTGCTCATCTTTCCAGACTTTGAACAGATGAGCAAACCAACTACTGACTCCTAGATGCCAGACGACCCCCATGGCTGTCTCAGTGCCACGGGCGTGCCCCAGGGGAATGGGCCCAGTGCCCATGAAGAATGGGGGGGGGGGCACCACCGATTGTGGGATGCCCGTCCCTTCCCACCTGTTGCCAGGAGACTCACTTGCCAGAGGCGCTGTTGGCGATCTCGTCCGCCAGCTCATCTCTCTCCTGCTCGGCGTGTCGGCGGGCTCGCTCAGATGAGGCAAGTTCCTGAATAAGTTCAGACCGTGATGGAAGCTCTGGCTGGTAACAGTTTCCTCAAGGGTGAGACCCGACAGTGCCTGTAGCTGCGGCCACCTTGCTTGAGGCACTAAGTGTGCCTCCAGTTGCAGCCAGACTCGAGAAATTACCCATCAACTTCTCTGACGTTAGCCAGTAGAACAGTGTCCAAGTATGACCACTTTGTTTGCCCAACTGAAGCAGTAAGATGGTCCAGTACCATATTAAACACGGATAGTGAAATTACACTAGGCTACAAAGATACTAAAATATAGTTATCTGGTCTTAGAGAAATTTCAAGGGCAGATATATTTTTTTAAACAAATGGATGAATAAGTAAACCAACCTCCTGCAGTTGAAGGATTTCTGCTTCCAGACTCTTCAGTTTCTTTTCACTCTCTTTGGACTGAGCAAAAATCTCATCCCGGGATGCACGAGCTTCTTCTAATTCACGTTGGTAGTCCTTCATCTGAGCCTAAGATTAAATAGGAAGAAAGTTTTGGGGTAGTGTCCATTCTTAGTTTTTAAACATGATATTTTTCTCCAGATTATAATATGTATGCATTTATTGTAAATATAAAAATATGTGGAAGTGACAGAAATAAGACAAGAAAACATTCAGGCCAATATCCCTTATGAATACAGATGTAAAAATCCTCAACAAAATAGTAACCAATTGAATCCATCAACATATTAAAAGAATTATACATTGTGTATATTTATATACCTTTATACCCCACCATCCAAGTGGGATTTATCTGAGGAATGCAATGTTGATTTGATATCCAAAAAATGAATTAACTATATGATCATCTCAATAAATGCAGAAGCAGCATCTGACAAAATCTAACACCTTTTCAATATAAAAACACTCAATAAACTGAAGGAAACTCTGATAAAGGGCATCAGTGAAAAACTAACAGCTAATATACTTAATGGTCAAAGATTGAATGCCTTCCTCTAAGATAAGCAATGAGACAGGGATGCCTGACCTCGCCCCTTCTGTGTAGCACTGTAATGGAGATTCTAGTCAAAGCAGTTAGGCCAAGACAAAGAAAGAAAAGACATTCAGATTGGAAAAGAAGTAAAACGAGCTCAATTTGCAGACGATATAACCTTACATATTGAAAATCTTAAGGAATCCACTAAGAAACGATTAGAACTAATAAACGAGTTCAGTGAGGCTGCAGCCTCACTGATCGATATATAGTCAGCTCTCCATATCTGTGAGTTCCACATACGCGGATTCAACCAGCAGTGGATCAAAAACATTCAGGGGAAACAAATTCTCAGAAAGTTCCTAAAAGCAAAACTTGAATTTGCCACATGCGCAGCTATTTATATATCGTTCACCTTGTATTAGGTAGTGTTATAAGTAATCTAGAGACGATTTAAAGTATACGAGAGGATATGCATAGGTTATATGCAAATAATACACCATTTTAGCAGCGTACTTAGGAAGGGAAGGAGAGACCTTTTTTTTCTCCCCCCCACCCCACCTTTTTTGGTTGTGCTGCACGGCACGTGGGATCTTAGTTCTCTGACCAGGGATCGAACCTGTGCCCCCTGCAGTGGAAGCGCGGATGCCAGGAAGTCCCAATACAGCATTTTACATCAGGGACTTGAGCATCTGAGGATTTTGGTATCCATGGAGTAGGGGGGGGTCCTGGAACCAATCCCCCTTGGATACCAAAGGACAACTGTACAAAAATCAATTATATTTCTATATACTAACTATAAACATTATAAATATTAACAAAGCAATTACACTTAGCATCAAAAAGGATAAAATTTAGCTAAAGTATAAGACTTGTACATCAGAAACTATAAAATAAAGCATCGTTGAAAAAAAATTAAAGAATAGCGAAATGAGTGGCATGATAGCCATGTACTGTTAAGATGGCAATACTCTCCAAGTTGATCTTCCAAGTCAACACAATATAAGAATCCAAGTGGGGGGCTTTGGGGGTTGGTGGGGGGAGGCAGAAATTGACAAGCTGATCCTAAATGGAATTGCAAGGAACCCAGAACACAGTCATGAAAAAGAAGAACAAAGTTGGAGAAGTCACACTTTCCAACCACAAAACCTGCAGAGCTACAGTAATCAAGACTGTGGTACTGGTGGAAGGACAGACATAGAGATCAATGGAATACGACTGAGAGTCCAGAAATAAACACAAGTCTGTGGTCAGCTGATTTTTGACAAGAGTGCCAAGACAATTCAAGAGGGGAAAGACTAGTCTTTTTAACAAGTGGTGCTGGGACAACTGGATATCCATATCCGAAAGAATGAAACTGGGTTCATATATGAAACCATATAACAAAAATTAACTCAAAATGGATTTAGAAAAAGAGCTAAAAATATAAAACTCTTAGGAGAAAACACAGGACTAAATCTCTAGGACTTCGGATAAGGCAGTGGTTTCACAGACCTAACAAAAACAGAAGAAACAAAAGAAAAGATAAATTGGACTCCATCAAAATTAAAAACTTTTGTGCTGTAAACAATACCATTGAGGGCGTGAATAGATAATCTAGACAATTAAAGAAAATATTTGGAAACTGTATATCTCCTACAAAACATCTAGAATGTATACAGAAATGTTACAACTCAATTACTGAAGACAACTCAAAAGCTTAGCAGAGGACTGAAAGACATTTTTTCCCACATATGATATTGGCCAATAAGCACATGTAAAGCTTTTCAACATCATTTGTCATTAGGGAAACGCAAATCAAAACCACAATGAGGGACTTTGCTGGTGGCGCAGTGGTTAAGAATCTGCCTACCACTGCAGGGGACACGGGTTTGAGCCCTGGTCCGGGAAGACCCCACATGCTGCGGAGCAACTAAGCCCATGTACCCCAACTACTGAGCCTGTGTGCCACAACTACTGAAGCCCATGTGCCTAGAGCCCGTGCTCCACAACAGAGAAGGCACCGCAATGAGAAGCCTGTGCACCGCAACGAAGGGTAGCCCCCGCTCACCGCAACTAGAGAAAGCCCGTGCGCAGCGACGAGGACCCAACACAGCCAAATATAAATAAATTTATATTAAAAAAAACCACAATGAGATACCACTTCATACGCACTGGGATGGCTATAATTAAAAGATGGACAATATAGCAAGTGTTGTTGAGGATGTAGAGAAACTGGAATCCTCATACATAGCTGGTAGGAATGTAAAATGTCGCTGTGGAAAGACCGGGCAGTTCCTCAAAGTTAAACAGAATTACCGTATAACCTAGCAATTCCATTCCTAGGTATATACCCCAGAAAATTGAAAACACACATCCGTACAAATACATGTGAACGTTCATAGCAGCAGTATCCATAGTAGCTTAAAAAGTCAAAATAACTCAAATGCCAACTAATGAATGGATTAATAAAAAAAATATGGTATGTCCAAACAATGGAATATTATTTGGTAATAAAAAGGAATGAAGTACTTATTTATGCTACAACGTGGTGAACCTTGAAAACATGCTAAGTGAAAGAAGCTGGTCACAAAAAGCCACATATTGTAGGATTCCGTCTGTATGACATGTCCAGCATAGGCAAATCTAGAGAGACGGAAAGTAGATTAGTGGTTGGTCAGTGTTGGGTGTGGCAGAGATAGTGTGGAGTCACAGCTAATGGGCACAGGGTCTCTTTTAGAAGGAACCAAAATGTCCAAAATGAGACAGTGGGAGATGCTGGCACAGCCCCTATGAATATTCTAAAAAACAGCAAAACACTCTAGATGGGTAAATTGAATGTTGTGTGAATTATATCTCCATAAAGCTGTTAAAATCATAGTAATATAATTTATATTCTTTGTAATTAGCTGGTCAAAGTAAAAACCTTTGTATTTAGCTTTTTAAAAAAGTGTAAGGAAGCAAATAAGCTACTCATAAATCTATTATCCAGAGATGACGTTTCCTTCTAAACTTTTTTTCTAAATGTGTGTATCTACCTGTCTATATATAGAAGTTTACACACATGTGTGCTGAGTTACAAACTAAACTGCCCTCCCTACACTGTGTCTTCCTGTGTCACTGCATACATATCCCCATCATTTGAATGGCTGGCAGTCCACCTACATTTAGGTTATTTCCCATCATAAATAACACTTCAGCTATGATCTTTGTATGTAAGTACTTCTCCTCATATTTACATTTTGTTAGGATAAATTCTCAAGATGCAGAATCACCAAGGTCAAAAGGAATGGAAACTTTCTAAAGCTTCTGTCCTAACAAACTTCCCTCCAGGGAAGTTGTGCCTACTTCTATGAAAGGGCCCATCACATCCTGCCAATACTGTGAGTTACTACAGAAATCACTTTTTGTCACTGTGATAGTGAAAACCGGCACACCATCTGGGTAGCAAAAGTGACGATTCAGTGAGATGGAAAGGCTCACTAAAGCTCACGGCGCTAGCGGAGGGGAGTCGACACCACTCTCCTCTTGGTGGCTCAGTGGCTGCATGTTTAGTTGAGCATCAGAGGCTGTTCAGAGCCCCAAAAGCTTGTCCCTGGTGGTTGCCGCCCTGCTGGTGACTCCACCCCGATCAGTCCAAGTGGGGCAAGCACTGGCCCACTGTAGACACTGGAGCTACACACGTGCCATCTTTATGGCCCGTGGCCCCAACCCACAGCCGAGGCTGACGGCTGCACTGTGCTCTCTGCAGGGGTGACCTGGCAACCCTGAGCCTGCGGGCAAGACGGCAGGCTGGGTGCTGCCCGGAGCCCTTCTCCCCAGCTTCACGGGCCATGTTGTGCTTGATCTCAGTAGGGCCAGATGACACCTGCCACCACCAAGGACTGACGGCTGCCGCACTTACCTGAAGTTTGCGGAGCTGCTTGATCACTTCATCCCTAGCTTTGTTTGCAGCCTCGATTTGAGCTTCCAGGTCCTTCAGGTCTATTTCCATTTTCTTCTTTGAAGCCACAGCAAGGGCCCGCTGTTTCCGCTCATCCTCCAGCTCAGCCTCCAGCTCCCGCACCTAATGGACCGTATGGGTTACGTCTGGTCAGACCCAGGTGCCCACACAGGACCGGCACATGAGGGCTTGGGTTACTCTGGAGAGGTGCTGCCTGCCACTGGGCAGTTATGAGTGTTATTAGCAGTTAATTTGTACAGAGAGATCTTTAACCACCACCACTGGTACAAACCGTTTCCACCGACCACAGCAAAGGCACGTAAGGAGGCAGAGCTCACGGTCTCGGTGATGCAACGAGACTGGCCCACGTGCCCAGAGCAGAGTTCTCGGGCCAGCACCTTGCGGGTGGGCCAGCACCCCGTGGGCAAGCCAGCCAGGATGCAGACCCTCCAGCCCCCGTCGGGCCTTCAGGTGACACACCCTGCTGAGTCCATTCTGAATTCCTGACCCACAGAAACTCAGTTAATGCGTGTTGTTTTAAGTCACTAAGTTTGAGGTAATTTGTTATCTAGCAAATAAATGACTAATAAAGTAAGTATTAGTGGACTGCAAATAACAAAGCAAAATTAAATCTATCTCAGATCCAAGACTTGATACCATGAACTCCAAGGGACTGAGAAAATATCCACAATTAGTTTTTAAAGTAAACTTTTAAATTAGAAGTTTAACATGCACTCAGGAAAGTATATAAATCATAAGTGCCCAAGCAACTTCTTAAAATTAAAAAAAATGTAAATACCTAGAGGTTTCCCTTTAAAGAGTGGCTTAATGAGGACGTGTGATCTGACCTTCGGAATACTCTGAATCACCTTGTCAGGTACATATTGATTCTTCCCTTTATCGATACTCATGAGACTCACAGAACTTGAACCTGACTACATGTCCCTGGAGATTCCACTAAGGGCTTTTCAATGGATATCCTGGCTTGTAAGTAGCAGTGATATTATCTGAGAAATAGGAAATCAAAACCAGTTGTATTACATTTTAAAGAATAAAATTATCAAAAAAAATTATCAAATGACCAAATAAATTTCCTCCAGCTAATATGTTCCAATGTGAATGAATAAGATATTGACCCAGAACTGGGCTTTGAGAACAAACCAGTTCCTGTTCCGGGGGCCACTCTTCCATGACCTACCTGTTTAATGAGCAGCCGCTTCTTTTCCTCGTTCTGCTCATCTCTGGTCTGCAAGTCCCTCTCGAACTGGGCCTTCATGGCCTGCATGTTGACCTCCAGGCGAAGCTTGGCGTCTTCTGTAGCCTGAAGCTCATCTTCCAGCTCTTCCAGCTGGGTCCTCATTTCCTCCACCTGCTGTTCTAGGGCCCGTTTGGATTTTTCAAGTTCATGAACCTGGACCACAGGAAGCACAGGGAGGGGATGACCCTTGGTGGAGGGACAAGCAAGGACAGCAGTTCCTGTTTATAGGCACCCCACCCCCCTATGCATCCTCCCCTCCCACTGCAGCTACACTAGTCCTCATTTCAGAACGCGCCATCTGAATGACAGGCCTGATTTCTTTATTCACATGAGCTCTAGAGTCTATCAGTTACTCTCCCATGACCTTGAAGCCGAGAGAGCTTTAAAAGCCATGAATAAAAAGCGTGGTGTCAGGGGAGTCGCCTGTTGACCGGCCACTGTGTCTAACACAGTACATCCCTCCTGCTGTGGAAGAGGTCATTTGTATTGAAAATGCACATGTGGAGACAACGTACTAGGTGTGTGAGGCCTGCCAAGCAGGGTGCAGTGAAAAAGGGGTTTGACCTTTCTCTGCGCAAAGATCCCCACCACACACGTTTACTAAGTTCTCGGTGCCAAGCGCTGTGCTGGGTGCTCCCCCTTCACGTCCCCTCTGATCCTGGAGACGATCCTTAGGCAGGCGTGCGCAGGTGCTATTATGATGTGTCCCTTTGGGGTTCACTGCCATGTCAGTTCTCACGCGGGCAGGAGAAGCCTTACGACGTGAGGAGGGCCTGTGTCTCTTAGTGTCTGGCACTCCACAGGCACAAAGGAACGCTTGTGGAATGAACGTGGGACTGTCGATTGTTCTAAAGAAAACTAATGTGGAACAAGAAAACGGAATCGGTCGTGGAATTCTCTCTCTACATTTTACTACGTAATCCTGGCCATTTCTACTCTAGGAGGCCTCTTCTTGTCCACGGGGCCGGTCCCCAGGCTGTAGGAGACTCAGCAGGGAGGTAGGACAGTCCTTCCTCCCTTATGATGTGGCCAGAGAGCCCGTGTCCCAGGAAAATGAGCTTTTATCTTTAGAGAGGACTTTACGCCTTTCAGAGCACAGCCGCAGCTGCTTCATGAAACAGGCAAGTATCACGTCCATTTGACAGAAGAGGAAACGTAGGCTTAGGCAGGTTAGATGGGAGCTTGGGGGAGAGTCAAGCCCCGAACCTGTTCTGATCCCCAGGCCTGGGTCCCCATCACTGTCCTCAACACCTCGTACACTAGGGGAGGGGGGAGGGTAAATAAAAATCCCAGCAGCTCCTGGGGGAGGCGTGTGCAGTGGGAGGACGAGAGGGTCCCCCCGGCTCCTCTCCAGCTTCCCCACTCGGTGCAGGAGACAGATCCCACTACCCTCAATCTGAGGGGACTTCAGGTACCTGCGTGTGATACACCTGAGGCTCAGGAACAGAGAAACCCTTCATTTAAAGGACGCCTGTCGGGATGCAGCTTAGGGCGGGAAGGGCCTGTGAAAGCGACAAGAACTCCCCGCCTGGCTTTGGCACAGGTAACCGGGAACAGACTGCAGAAAACCTGATGGCTTATCCTGGGAGTCCTTAACCCCCTAATTACATACAGGCCAAGACACTCCTGGCCCGCTTCGCTGTAGGGCTGGGCCTCCCCAGAGTCGCCTGCCTGCCCTGAAGGCACTGGTCCCCGGGACACTCACGTTCTTGCCCACGTCGTCCTTGGAGCTCATCAGGTCCTCCATGTCTGCCCGCAGCTGCTTGTTCTGCCGCTCAGACTCTTCCTTGGCCTCCAGGGCCTCCTCAAGGGCACGGGCCAGGGACAGGGCTTTGGTTTCCTTCTCTCTGGCCTCTGCTTCGGCCCGGTCTCGCTCTTCCGCGTAGCGGGCAGAGATATTCTTCTCTTCTGCTAACAGCTACACGGGATGGTGTTGGGAGACAGTAAAAATCGATTTCAAAAGCAACAGAGACTCCTCATTTGCTACGTGCTTGAATTATTGCTAAGAATATCAGGCGTGTTCTCCTGTTTCCTTCTTTATGTTGGTCTGCTTTTTCCAATTTTGCTATAAATACATATTGCTCTTAAATAAGAAAGGATTATTTTAAGCCGAAATGACAAAGGCGAGGGCTTTGCCAGGAGGAAACACGTGTGGCGCTGGCCCTGGAGCCCAGGGGTGGGGAGCGCTGGGCACCCACCTGATCGAACTTCTTCTGCTTCTTCTCCAAGTTGGAGACGATCTGGCGCTGGTGGTCCAGGTCCACCAGCAGGTCATCAAGCTCCTGCTGCAGGCGGTTCTTGGTCTTCTCCAGCTTGTCGTAGGCCAGGGCCTTCTCCTCCAGGCGCTGGCTCAGTGCTTCCACGTCTTTAAGGAGCTTCTTCTTGGCTTCTTCCAAACTTTCAATTGTCCCCAGGTCATCATCTACTTTCTTCTTGGTATCTGTCAACTGAAGGAAAAAAGATCACGATTAAAGAACTCAACTGGATTTCACACTTGAGGAATAAAGATAAAACTTATTTTCAGTATTCTGTCAGAAGAAATAATATAAAGCAATACTATGCGTCTCTGAGCAAATGGATCTTAGACCATAAATGTCTTCGCTAATCATCTATAAAAGCATGACTGGATTGGAATTTACATAGTGGACACAGTCCGAGGGTCTTCACCTTGCTCCCAACAAGACCCAATTAACTGTCCCAAATGGAGTTGAAACCACCCAGCAGGGCAGGGACGTCAGCTGCTAAACACACACACTGAGGCCACACGGCGTCCCGAGCGGATGCACGCACCTGGGCCTGCAGGGCCAGCACCTGCTTTTCCAGGTTCTTCCTGGCCTCTTCCTCCTCCTCCTGCTGCTCCTGGAGGCTGTTCTTCTCCTCCTCCAGCTGCCGGATCCGACTGCTCAGGTTCAGTTTTTGGCGTGTCTCTTCCTGAAGAAGCTCCTGTTTATTTTTATAAACGGTCAGTACTTAGGTTATGGTAATCACCCAAACCACAATGCCTCTGTTAAAAAAACCAGAGTCTCAGTGTGTGCGAAATACCCAGTGATATTAACAAACAAGTGATTTTAAAACACACCTGATCATTTAACAAGTGCCCTTAGTACAATATTGCTTTAAAGTTGTTCACGAGGGAATTCTCTGGCAGTCCAAAGGCTAGGACTCCGCGCTTTCACTGCCGAGGGCGTGGGTTCAATCCCTGGTCGGGGAACCAAGATCCCGCAAGCCGTGCAGCGTGGCCAAAAAACCCAAAACAAACTTGTTCACGAGCAATGGCAGCGTCACCCCCCCAGGGGCCCAGGCCAGGGACCTGCGAGCTTCCCTTTCCCACATCTTTTATCACTCCTGGAATCCTTTCCTGTTTCTCTCAGGTCAGCGTTAATGAACGAAAACCATGAGAAAATGTTTAAAATGGCCAGCAGTGCACGAATGTATAACAGGACCGCTGCCTGGTGAACCGTACCCCGGTGAACCGCACCCCAGGCAGCGCCCGGCCAGACAGCAAGAGCCGCCTACCAGGCACCCACACATGCCTGCCAGACACAGGAACCGCAGGCTCTAGATATGAGCTCAAAGGTGAGTTCCTGAGCATCAGGGCTGGTTTTGGTGCAAGATGGTTGAAAATAAACGTAGAGCAGAATGACTCCCCTGGTGGCACAGTGGTTAAGAATCCACCTGCCCATGCAGGGGACACGGGTTTGCGCCCTGGTCCGGGAAGATCCCACATGCAGCGGAGCAACGAAGCCCATGTACCACAACTACTGAGCCTGTGCTCTAGAGCCTGCAAGCCACAACTACTGAGCCTGCACTCTAGAGCCCGGGAGACAACTACTGAAGCCCGTGCGCCTAGAGCCTGTGCTCCACCACAAGGGAAGCCACCGCAATGAGAAGCCTGTGCACCGCAACGAAGAGTAGACTCCACTCGCCGCAACTAGAGAAAGCCTGCATGCAGCAACAAAAACCCAACTTGGCCCAAAATAAATAAATTTATATAAAGAAAAAAAAGTAGAGCAGAAAATCAGAAAGAGGTGATAAGAGGGCAGTTCTGGGAATAGCATGTTTCACCAATTTACAGATTACAGAAACAGCAGAGTTACTATTAACACTCTACCCCCGGGGGAAATACCTGTGTGTCCTGGAGTTGAGACTCAAGACCAGCTGCGTCCTTGGCAAACTTAATACCCTTTTTCTCTGCTTCTTCTAGAAGAGTTGAGACATTATCCAATTCATTCTGCGAGGAGGAGTGAAAGGTTATGACTCACTTCAGCAGCAGACAGAGAGAAGAGTGGTGGGTTCTGGACCCTAAGTGCCCACAAAGCGAGCATATCGTGGGGAGGAGGGGTCAGCCTCAGCTGAGGAGGGCTCACCACCGAGAATCTGCCGCCCCCGTGAGCAGGCCCTGAGCCAGCCACCGCAGAGAGCCTCCACCTACGGCCCGGACAGGGAGGCTTAGGACGGCAGAGCCCACACGTGGGGGGCGTTCTCCTAACTGGCTTGCTATCTTGTTTTTCAGCGTCAAGAGACAAAAATTATACCGAATCCTCTGAAAGAGTGGCTGCTGTCCTATGTGAGGAGGCTCACGATCAGCAGGTGTTTTATTTTAACCCTTTTTCACACGAAGATGCACCATCCCTATACTGGGGGGAGGTGGGTAGCGGGCGCGAGTGTAATTCATTTTCTTAGAGAACTTGAAAACTTTATCACACAGATTCAGATAAGTTTAAATTCTAAGAGTCACAGCCCACAGTTCTTTTTAAGCTGAAAGAAAATCTGGTATGATATACTTATCATGAATATGTAGCTATTTCTTATGGTCAGATTTTATGAATAATGTGGTAAAAACATTTTTTTCTTTTTCGTGTTTAATTAATGATAGCTCTAAAATACCTCCCCCCCTAGAAACCCCCATGGCGTAAGACCGTCTATGTCTTTTGTGGGGACAGTGGGTCGTAGACAAAAGGAACAGGAGCTGCCCTTCGTTCTAGTCTGTCCTCTAGTCACGTGAGCAAAGGGAAGGCACACGGAGGACGTTTCTATACTTGAAACTCAAGCTGATGGCATTTGTTTTTCCTCATTTTAGCAATGCCCTTCAGAGATCCCCCCACTTCATCAGTCTTGGCAGCAGCGGGGCGGGGAGGGCTGTGGACTCAGCAGAGCCCAGAGGCAGGCAAGCTTCTCACGTCCTCATCCACCAGACTCACCCGGGGGGCGCTGTGAGCTTCAAGTGGGAGAGCGACACGAGGAGCCTAACGTGGACCTGAGGCAGCCCGGGCGCCCCCAATGTCAGTCCCCTCCCCACCCCGCCAGACACTGGGGGCGACGTCCAGGAAAGGCTTTCCAGGCCTACCTGTAACTTATTCGCTTTCTCGGCCAGTTCCACCCTGAGTCTGTCTCCTTCCGAGACCTTGGCGTGGAGCTCCTGGACCTGGGCGTCCAGCTTCTTCCTCTTGTGCTCAGACTCGGCCTTGACCTGCTGCAGCACTTTCACCTCGCACGCCAGCTCCTTGTTGTCCGTCTCCAGGCCCTGCTTGTTCTTCTCCAGATTTGCCTTGAACTAGGAGAGAGAAGGGAGGAACACTTCACTCGCAGTTCTACAACAGAGGACGCAAAGGGCATGGCTTTGGTGTCCGGAGAACCGTGCTGACACGGAGTGAGCCTGCAGTCGACATCTGTTGCATAAATGAAGGAAGACACCTGCTGTTCTCGGAGTGTGAAGACTTCTGTGGGCGGAACACCCCTGTACACCCCGCTCAGGGCAGCAGATACAGTATGGGGGGGCGCTGGCAGCACCGCGGGGGGCCAGCATGTGAGAGGCGGAGGCGGGAACGATGAAGCAAGGGCAACGATGTGTGCGGTGCCTGAGACAGACTGGAGGCGGGAGGGGCAGGGGGCAGGGCACCAGGGACACCCAAAGGGCCTGGCGGCTTCTGGGCAGCAGGTGAGCGAGAGCAGGACGTGCAGCTGCTGAAGCTTTAGAGCTCAGTCATCAGGAGGAAGAGAGCTATCAGTGAGAGGAATATGTGATTTAAAAATAAAATCAGGGGCGCCTGGCTCCCCCAGGCCAGCACTGTGCTCTCAGAGAGCGGCCGCTGCGGGAGCACCTGGACCCCCGCGCTGCCCACCGACGTGTCCCTACCCTCTTCGCCTGCTCTAGCTGCTCCGACAGCTCCTCCAGGGCGGTCGCGTGTCTCTGCCTCATGTCCTGGATCTGAGCCTCGTGGTTCTTCGTTTCCTCCTCGAGAGCTTTCTTCAGCTCTGCCACTTCTTGTTCACGTTTGGTGCTAGAGAAACATAATTTTAGAGGAAGAAGCTCAGAATTAGTTGAATGACTAAATTAAATGCACATTTTTAAAGTTCTGCTTTTGTTTGAAACATGACATGGATTCCAGGAGGCTGGCGTGTCTGTTACTGGGGTAGCGGGAAACCTTCCAGAACCAGCATGACCCCCATTCCACATGCGACTTACAGTCGAGACACGGTGTAATGTCCCTAAGGGTCTTCGGACGTCCGGGGCAGCCTGGGTGTATCACAGGCCAGGCACTGCTTAACACAAGATGCCAAAATGCCTGCCACAGCGCCAGCAGGCATTTCAGTAAAACCGGAAGAGGGTAAATCCCCAAAAGGGCTGGTAAAGGCTCATCAGGCGGGACACTGCACCCCGACAAAAGTGGGGCTGAGCACCACCTTTAATTTAAGCGCACAGCTTAACACTGAAACCAGTTAAGGTAAATACCACTCCTGCCGAGAGCTGCCGTAACACCGAGAGCTTAGAGAGCAGTAACTTTCCCATCATTCTGCAGCACAACTCTGGCAAACTTGCTCTAAAACCCGTGGCCAGTCAAAGCAGTGACGTATATGCTGATTGCTGTGTGGGCGCACTTTCCTCTACAAGGAAGCGAAATCTAGGGGCTGCGACCAGCTGCGGCAAAGAGAAAAGGGGCCCAGGTGGCTACTAGCTGCGTGGTGGCAGGTCACCAGACAAAGGGAGCCACCAGAGTCACGGTGGTGCAGCCTGGCTCGGCCACACGTTCACTGGAGACGAAAGGCGTGCGGGGGTCTGGCCTTGTCCTCTGCAAGCTTCCGTGCAGAGGAAGGGATGGATGCTGGAGGTGGGGGAGGGGCACCGGCATCCAAGCATCAGCCCGACAGGACAGACTCCATCGAGGTTACTTCAGTTCACCCCCCATCTACCAGATAGCAACACCATTTCCCCTGACGCATCGGAACTGCAGGCCATCCGACCCCTTCACCAGCAGAAGCAGGGAGTGCTGTGTTGGAGCACATCCACGGTTTTAACCAATATGCACATACTGGACTTCCCTGGCGGTCCACTGGTTAAGACTCCGTGCTTCCAATGCAAGGAGGGTGGGTTTGATCCCTGGTTGGGGAACTAAGGTCCTGCAAGCCGTGCAGTGTGGCCAAAAAAAAAAAAAAAAAAAGCGCATATCATTGGTACTTTTTTTTTTTTTTTTAAACAAGAGTTGAAGGGAAGAAGTGAGCAGAACCTTTTTTTCTACCGTGGTTGAAAGCTCAGCTGAGAAAGGCTATTTCAACCAAGTCTAATCATTAGACTGTGGGTTCCAGCCCACAGTTCAGTGGTTTCCAGATATTTAAAAAGCAGGTATTTTAAAACCAAGGCCAGGACTTAAAACTGCTAAAAGCAGAGCTGCTCTGTGGAGGCGGGTGGGAGGGCTCGGGTGGCTCTGCGGGGACACACCCTCCCGTTGCCCTGAGGCCCTGCGTGTTAGCTGGCAAAGTCCCTGGCACGTTATCAGGCTCACCTCCTCCGCTTCTTCAGCACTGAGCGCTCCGGACACCCCCGGTCTGACCTCAGCCTGACGGCTCGGCACGGCTTCTCTCCAGGCCCAGAACCTGACGGGCACACGCCCCTACCCTACCTGCCTCTGTAAATGACCCCTACTGCCCTCGCCTTGCTGCAGGCTTTCCCTTAGCCCCCTTCTCGGGGGCAGGCTCCCCTTCCCACCACGCACAGCCTGGGACAGGTGGCAGGGGTGTGGGGGTGCGTGCGTGTGCAAGCAGCCAGGTCTACCCGCCAAGGCAGCCTGGGGATTCCTGGGCTGGCCTCACGCGCCCGGCAGCTTGGGTCTTGAGGAGGGAGGAGCCGGTCGGGAGGCCAGCAGGGGCCTCGGGCAGCCCACCTGCTCACCGCTAGTTGCGCGCGCTCTCCCGGGACTTCCCGTGAGTCGTGTCTGGCTGCGCTCGTCACTTTCCTCTTGCCTACGCTCGGCGGCTGGCCCGTCTGTTACGTGGGTACCTGCACTCACCTGTCCTTTTGTCTTTGTGGACACGGGCCTCCTCCTCGTCTGTTTCCTCACCACTGTTCATCAGACCAATTGCTGCAGCCAGCAGATGCCCAAACAGCCCCATCTCCTCCTGTTTCTGTGTCTGTCCCCTCTAGCCCTCTGGTCCCTGCGCCCCCCTTACTTGGTTCAGGTGTGACTCTCCCTCCAGCCAGGTGTGCGTAACCTGGGGCTTTTCTGATCACACCTCCCTCTGTGCACCTGGCTGGGGTGCATCCACCCGCCCTGTGCTTTCTACCTACAGGCCGGTTGGTTTCTAACCACCAAGATTTTGTTACTGTTCCACGTGCCACTGTTTCCAGGAGGGAGAGAGGATGCTCGAAGTGACAGCATACAGGAAACACCCCACTCCCCGAGGACGAGCATCTCTGCCCTGCCCCCACTCACCGCAGTTCCTGCTGAGCTGCCGTGGTGTCCAGCGTGTCCTCAAGCTCTGTCTTCAGAGCTTCCAGCTCCTCACTCAAGTCCCTCTTCTGCTTTTCCGCCTTGTTCCGCGAAGCCTTCTCGGATTCAAAGTCTTCCTGCAGCTCAGCAAGCTGGGCTTGCAGCTCTCGCACGACTTTAAGCGCGTTGTTCTTGTGCAGTGTCTCGTCGTCACCCCTGAGGAGACACCCGGGCACGGGAAGCGCTCAGAGCCGGCGCCCGGGGACTCTTCCCACAAGGAGACCCTGAGACACCACTCCCAGCCCACGGCCCACGGCTTGGAGGCCCAGAGCTGGTATCAGGATGGAGTCTGGGTCCTGTCCAAAGGGCTAATAAAGTTCTCCGTGAAAAGGTAGGACCATCTCACTTTAATGATTATTATATTTAAAAACTCCCTCTCAAGCAAATGTTCTTCTAGTTAAAACACTGCTCAAGGTAGCCGTCTTGTCCGTCAGATTGGTTCCAGCCCACGGCAAATGTGCAAATTCAGAGAAGTTCTTGGAACAAAGTGGAAGCAGACCCGCCACCTTCACACCCTCCACTCTACGCCTCCTCTATCCTCTGGTGCATCTTTTTGCTCACGTGTGATTTAATGTGGGTGGATGTTCTGACCGGGGATGGGTGGGAAGTTTGAGATGAGGGAGGGGAAGCTGACACATGGGAGAATTTTAGTTCTGGGTCTCAGCCCTCACCTCTGTAAGTGGCCGAAGAAAGACTAACAGTGACAGAGGCAGAGAAGAATTTCTGTTATAAGATTTTCTTGATTGTGATAAATTATAAATTAAACTGAGTCCTATGACCATGTAACCAAATAGTTATTGGTTAAAGAAATGAAATGAAATATTAGCATAAATGAATTTACTATATATGACTTACATTCTGTAACTGAATGGTTTAGGACTGAGTAGCCAATCGTGCTACAAGAGGGGGGAATACTTCTGAAAAGCGATTTCCTCTAAACTTCTAAATCATATTGAAATTAATCTGTAACGTACAGAAATCAGAGCATTTGATATGGTTAAAACTGTTGGTTCAGGTGTGAATTTTCAAGGATTTCATGATATGACTCGTGATTTTTAAGTGTAAATACCAAGAAGGATTGATGAGATTTTCTGGCTGCCCCAACACACATGCTCCCTGGTCTCCCAGGCCCGTGTCACACCCAATGACGAGGAAGGCATATGTCAGTGTCCCGGGGTCTCTCTGTCGGGACCCCCTCCAGCCACATGCCTAGCGCAGACCTGGCCAGGGCGCCCTGCAGCTCCTCCTCCTTCTTGGCCACCTGGATCTTGAGCTCGTCAATCTGCGCCTGGAGCTCGGCGATCTGGTCCTGCAGGTCTGTGGTCTCACCGTCCAGTTTCCTTTTGGCCTTTTCCAGTTCCTGGCGGGTCTTCTCCTCCTTCTTTAAGCGCTCTTTAGGGCAAGAAACAAGAAGCCCTTCAACACACTGAATGTCACTCCATATGGACAAATTCAAAAAGTAAACTGATTAAAGTTGAAAATTAGCCGTTGCATTCTAAAGCACGTCGCTGCCAACCGCTCCATCACCTGAAACCCATCAAGATCAAACCGAAGGCGAGATATATTAGTAGGAGGGTGGGATTTTCAGGAAGAAACTGGGAGGATTCTAAGGACATCCTTCCACAGGGAGCGGGCCCCCGCTCTCAGAGCCAAAGTGACCTGGACCCCGTGCTGTGCCCGGGATCACAGAGGGCTGGGCAGAGGCGGGGTGGCATGTGACTCCTGCCCCCCCGGCTCCCCTTTCACCGGGAATCCCTGGTTTGAACCCAGACTGCAGTTCCTGAGCCCTGAGGGCGAGAGGGCAGAGTGTGGGCATCTCTCCCGCCCGCCCTCTGAGTCCTGCAGTGATTCCTGAATTAGGGCGGGGATGCTTCCCTTCACACGCTGTCCTCAGCCGCCCAACAGTCAGGTGAGAAAAGGACAGGCCTACCTACCCTTCCCAGAAGAATCGCCTACAGGTAAGAATGGTTTATGGAGAGAATTTCAGGCTGACAACAACAAGGACAACAAAATCCTAAATATTGTTTTAGAAACCACTCATTTTCTCCCCGTTATAAACGACCACACGACGGCAGGGTGTTAAGAGCCAGGTTCTTCCTCCTCTGTCGATGCCAGTCTCCAGCTGCGGGTCAAAGGGAAGGTTTTCTGGGCTCTTTCCCACTTCCACCCTCTTTTCTTATTTCTTTTGCAGAAGGCAGTGATCCATTTTGCAAAAATCCTAGCATTTGCTGACATGACTTGGGCCATCAGAGTGAGACACTGCTACCGTGCACAGAGTCTCCTGTCCCTGTCAGGTTTTGTGTCAGCAGCTGTCCCTTTGTGAAGGGAAACCTAGGCACCTCGACGCAGCATTTAGATTAAACATGTACAAATTTAACGGCCTGTACAGCTCAAACTTAATTTATGTCCCAACTGTGTCCACCAAAGGGCAATCTACTTTACTACAGGACCTAACTTTAAAAGTTTAAAGATAATCTAGTGCCGTTTGATGACACTAAATACCTGGTGACTAGGCAAATGACGACACCATATAAGAGGGCTATTTTAATAGCTGAACCCAAACTGATGAGCGGTCCCCATGTACACTTCCTATCACAGCATGTTCTGATTTAAGTAGAATCTAAAGGCTCACATGTCCTAGCCCTAAATTTCTCTAGCCTCCAACACTCACCTTCTAAGTCTGAGATCATCACTTCCTGCTTATTCCTGATCTTGGCCAGGTTTTTTGCCTTTTCTTCCTCTTCAGCCAGCTGAGAGGAACACTCAGCAATGCGATCTTCCATGAGTTTCTTTTCCTGAATAGCAAAAACGGCTTCAGAAAAGGCATTCAAAATGACAAGTGGGTTTGGTTATTACTTAGAAAACAAGTAACGTTGGCACTGTCACCCCCAGCAGACCGTATATTCCAAAAAGGCAGGAAAAGGAGGCTCGTGACCCTCCAGAGCTTCGCCCGCCCGCCTGGCCTGCAGTCCCGCAGTCCCGCAGCCAGTGCTGAATGTATTACCGCCCAGATGGGAACAAGTCGTCGGTGAGTGTCCAAAGGGCACAAAATGTCCACGTTCAGTCATCTCAGGGATTAAAAGGATGTTTGGTGGATTAAAAAAATTAAATAGTTTCTGTCTTTAGAAATCTATACCGACTATAAATCTGTAGAGACTTAGAAAACTGAATAAATGAACTTGAAATCTTGAGAACTTCCTGTTTGAAGCCACTTTCAGTGAGAGCATTGACACAAGTATTTTCCATATTCTAAAAGCAGCTCTTGGACTCCCCTGGTGGCACAGTGGTTAAGAATCTGCCTGCCAATGCAGGGGACATGGGTTCGAGCCCTGGTCCAGGAGGATCCCACATGCCGCGGAGCAACTAAGGCCGTGCACCACAACTGCTGAGCCTGTGCTCTAGAGCCCACGAGCCACAACTGCTGAGCCCACGTGCCACAACTACTGAAGCCCGCGGGCCTCGAGCCCGTGCTCCGCAACAAGGGAAGCCACTGCGGTGAGAAGGCTGTGCACCTCAACGAAGAGTAGCCCCTGCTCGCTGCAACTAGAGAAAGCCCGCGCGCAGCAACGAAGACCCAATGCAGCCGAAACTAAATAAATAAAATACATTTATTAAAAAAATAAAATCAGCTCTTAAATGGAAATAGTCTCTTACTTTGATAAATTTGGAATTTTGGTCCTCGAGAAGCAGAATCTCCTCTTCCATCTTCTTGATCTTGGCCTCTGCCGTCACCTTCTCCAGCTGCAGTTTCTGGCGAGCCCCCTCCTCCTCGTCCAGCTGCTCCTCCAGGTCCTTGGGGAGAAGAAGTACATGTGGTCAGTCTCCACACTTTCTCTACGAAATTCTACACATGCTAACAAGCAAGGTCAAACTGAAAGGCCAGTGTTTGATTTTCAAAATGGCAGGGTTATTTTTAAACATATAGAATGTAATTATGTGAAACAGACACTTGTGTCCACTATAGGTTAAGTACAAAGTGGGTCAGTCCTTCTCGAAGCCAACATGGAAGAATGGAGCAGCTCTGAAAAAGAGCATTTCTTTTAAACCAGCGGTTTCAGGAAAAGGCACAGATGTGATTTATATTGAAAAGACCTGTAGCAAAGTGTTATTTATCGTACTGAGGAACTATGAACATACTTCAAAAAAGCCTTGGTGATTAAAAGCGGGTACATTTGTAAAATGGGATAATGTGTAGTTATTAAAATCCATACTTTAGAATAGTAGTAACACAGGGAAGCTGAATAATATAGTCCAGCTACATCAAACACACAAGAGAAAGACAACTCAGAAACAACCATGGAAACAGTACAGGTTGGTGAGAATGGACCGTCTCAGGTCAGGCGTGCCGTGCCGTTCACAGCACGAGTGCATCGCCAAACTGGGTGGGATTCCAGAGTTTACACATGGTTTTCCTATAACAAGCTTCTCTTTATTTCATACCCTACATTATTGTAGCTAATAAACATATGCATTACAGAACAGAGTTGTACATACAAATCAATATATGGCCAGTTTAAGAAATTTTCAAGGGACTTCCCTCATGGCACAGTGGTTAAGAATCCACCTGCCAATGCAGGGGACATGGGTTCAAGCCCTGGTCCAGGAAGATCCCACATGCCACGGAGCAACCAAGTCCGTGCACCGCAGCTACTGAGCCTGTGAGCCTAGAGCCTGTGCTCCGCAACAAGAGAAGCCACCGCAAAGAGAAGCCCGTGCACTGCAACGAAGAGTAGCCCCCGCTCGCCACAACTAGAGAAAGTCCGTGCACAGCAACAAAGGCCCAACGTAGCCAAAAATAAATAAATAAATTTATTAAAAAAAATTAATAATAAAAGCCCATAAACACAGAGGTTAAAAAAGAACTTTCAAGGGTAATTTTGGCTAAATAATTTATCACGGCTGATTCTGTAATGAAACCTCTGCACAAGATTAACCTTTTTTGTGAAAAACTTCAAACACACATATAAGTACAGAGTAGCATGGTGATCCTGACACAAATGCATCAGCCCAAGCTTAACAGGCATCAGCTCATGGTCAGCGGTCACTTCTAAACCCCCAGCTTCTCCCTCCTCCACTGCGTTATTTTGAAGCAAATCCCAGACATTATATTTCACCTGTAAACCTTCAGGCTCTATCTCTAAAAGATGAAGACCATTTAAAAATACACTTGTTTGAACTGGAATCCAAATAAGGTTCACACGCTGTGATTGATAAGACCCTTAAGACTGCTTTAATCTCTAGGTTCTCTCAAATTTCTTTCTCCTCCCTTTTTCTCACCATTTATTTGTTAAAAAAAAAAAAACCAAAAGGGCTTCCCTGGTGGTGCAGTGGTTGAGAGTCCGCCTGCCAATGCAGGGGACGCGGGTTCGTGCCCCGGCCTGGGAGGATCACACATGCCGCGGAGCGGCTGGGCCCGTGAGCCATGGCCGCTGAGCCTGCGCGTCCGGAGCCTGTGCTCCGCAACGGGAGAGGCCACAACAGTGAGAGGCCCACGTACCGCAAAAACAAAAACAAAAACAAAAACAAAAAGGACCCCACAGGTCATTTGTCCTACAGTTTCCCAGAGTCTGGATTTTGTCCACTGCATCCCTGCACTGTACACTCCTAAGGTGACAAAAGCAGTGAACAGTGGGTCCAGTGTAATTCAATTAATAAATGAATCCACATATATCTGTTCAGAAATATATGCAAAAAAATAATAGGGATTAATGGGAGGATGGGTGGGAGGAGACTTCTAAGTGCGATTTTATATTCTCTGGGAATCAGGGAATTAATATGGAATCAGGGAATTAATATTGAAAACAAAACAAAAACCGAAAACAGCTCTAGTAGTTTTTGGTTGAAAAGGAGACAGATCAGAAATCCCTGAAAGCCTCATTTGGCGGGGGGGGGACCGGAAAGGACAAGAGACCAACAAGGTTGGGTTTTCCCAAGAGCCATGCAGTTAATATAGAATCTCAGATATTCCATAAGAGGGGGAAAATATTTAATAATAACGTTACCATAAATATTTTATAATGTGTTTGCATTTACAATGGAGATATTAAGAAAACAGTGCAAAGACCCAGTGAAAGAGTCTAGAGTAAAGGTTATGAAGATGGAAAGTATTGAAAAACAAAACAGGCAAACAACAACAAAAAACCCTGTTCTTACAAGGAAATGCTTGTTTGCTAAAGAGAGTAATGCAAGCATTTCAGGTGAAGTTGCTAAAACGTGGAGCGTAAAACAGTAGGTTGGGGAGACTGGAGATGACTCTGGGTGTCCTTACCCTGTGTGAGTAAAATATTATCACTGAAATGACCACATGCTCTGAAACAAAGAGAAAGTCAAAATGGAAAACGAATTTGAAAAGGATACATGTATAACTGAATTACTTTGCTGTACACCTGAAACTATCACACCATCGTTAATCAACTATACTCCAGTATAAAAATAAAATGTTTAAAAAAAAAAAAGAGAAAATCAAAACTGTTGATAATACCACCAGAACTCACTATTATTGGTGACTATTATTCTAGATCTTCTGTACGTCCCCTTATAAAAATCATACAGTTTGTAAGTTATATACTTTTAGTTAGACCTTACTGTGTGTACTCTTTTGCAACTCCCCTTACTAATGTATTATAAATACCCATAAAAATAGACATCTTTTAAATTTATAACTGTATATTATTACCGTAGTTTAAGAATCCCCTATTGTTAGATAATTAGTAGGCTTCCACTGATTTATGCTTTAAGTCCTAGAACTAGAATTGCTGGATTAATGTGTACTTTTTATAGCTTCCGTGATATTTTGCCAACCTATTATGGGATACTGGAAAGCTGTTTGTGTTGAAGAATGGAGAGGGCCTGGACAATTTACTGTATGGGGTATTTGCCAAGGAAATAATATGGTATCTTTTGCGGTTCTGAGAAATGTCTGAAATGTCTGTGCTTTGCAAAGATCAGCCAAGTGGTGGGGATAGAATCCAGGGAGAGATCTGGAAGGAAGGAAGTTTGGTGCTGGACCCATGAGGCAGTGGGGGCAGATACAGACACCCTGACACTCAAGGCCACACTGGATAGGCTGGGGTGGGACTCACGGAGAACGAGTCTCAGGGCACAGGCACAATCACTGTCGTCTGCATCACTCACCTGGGTGTTCAATCAGAGAGAACCGCGCTTCGTGTGAGGACAGCTGGATCTCAATAAGAAAGTAGCTACCAGCAGGAAGGGCTAAGTGTTTTATTCCGATTCCTGGCCACCTCCTGCGTCAGCGCTGAGCATTTATTATGAACCACACCACCTCGTAGGTGTCTCTAATGGATGGAGTGAGCAGTGGAATTATTGAGAACACAACGAGCAAACTCCGTCCCCGCAGACCCTGGGACGCATCCTCTAAGATGCCACAGCAGAACATAAAAACGATTCCTGTTCAAAATAACAAATCTGCGTTTGGAGGAATCTATTATGTGTGTGCTTCGAGTGATCTTTTAAAGGGGTGGGGGGGGGGTGGGGAGAAACGACTTATTACTTAGGCTTCTGTTGCTCCTCAATGGACACAAGAATCCAAACCCAGAGCCTCTCTTCACTCAACAGATCCATCTGGAAAACCCCAACTATAATCCTAAATGAAGCTTATCACAGATACCTGGATGTGTGCTTGCATTTTCTTCTTCTCATTTTGGAGGATTTGGTTTCTTTCTTCTTCTTCTTCAACCCTAGACTCCAAGTCATGGAGAATCTCTTCTAATTCCTGCTTCTTAGCGGCAAGTCTTGCCCTCATCTCTTCTGCTTCAGCAAAGAGCTCAGTCTCTGCTTGTAGTTGCTCTGCCAGGATATTCTTCTCTTCTAGCAGCTGCAATCACAGTAAAGCGTCCGGTGCTATGACTGGCCGGTTGTGCACAAGAGACAGTCACTGGGACTCCAGTGGCCAGTGCAGGTCGCCCAAGAAACCCGGAGTTAAAAATATATAACGTCACTCGCAAAATTTTCAAATATATCTTCGGCTCTAGCAAAATAAGCTGGGTGAAAACTTGAGACAACAGAAACAACGAAAAAGGTTATCCTGAATAATACATATTAAATTCATGCTATTTGAAAGAATTCCCTTTCTTACTATTAAGGTAATTCACAGAGGGACCAAAGAATAGGAGGAGAAATATTATACGAATGCTATGAAGTTCATGGTGACTGAAGCCATCTGGTATCAAATGATATTCTGGCCTCTACTGTTAAAACTTTTTGGCCCTGAACACATCAGTCCTATCACTGTCAACTACAAACATTTCCTGAGTCTCTGCTTTGTCCGTGAAGCACGGCTCCCTGAGAACGGGATGTGGACTCAGGACCACCGTGGCTGGAGAACAGGCAGCGGGGTGCCTTGTACTGTCTCATCCTTTTACTTTTTTCTAGGTCCCTTGTGAGCAGTCACAGGAAGGTGCTAATACCAGGAGAAGTGTCACCGGTGTTAAACGCACACCTGATAGCAAACTTGATCATCTGGGTGTCCAAAGGGTGACAAAGGCAAAAATGCAAGAGCTCAAGCTGATTTCAGTTTATATATACCCCAATGCTTGGCCTAATACATCTGCTACCTCTATGCTCAAACGTCTATAAATACACATCAAGTAAGATGCTGTTTATTTGGAATTCACTGGGTGGGTCCCTATCCGCGGGATCGCGCGTCTTCTTTCAGGGCTGCGCGGGAACCGGTGAGCGTACCTGTTGGTGCTTCCTCTCCATCTCCTCCAGCTCCCCTTCCACCTTCGTCTGCTTCTCCTTCACCTTCAGCAGCTCTTCGTCTTTGGCCTGGAGTTCCTCCTCTTGGCGAGTGACTTGTAGGAGCGGCTTCACCTACGTTCACGACATTGAACGCTGACCGTCGCACCCTGCGCCTCCCCGCCCCCGGGCTTCTCTTGGTCCCGTGCGCGCCACCCCAGGGGGAGCCGGGCGCCCACCTTGGTGAAGACGCGCCACCACTGCCAGTGCCGCAGCTTCAGGTACGCGGCGCAGTTGCGCTGCAGCACCTTCAGGGCGCTCAGCTGCTGCTGCTTCTTGGCGAAGGCCCTGAAGAAGAGGCAGGAAAACCAGTTAAAGAAAACCGTGGTTTTGTTTTTGTTTTGTTTTGCTTGTAAACAACAATCAGTTATTCCTCACAGTTCTGGAGGCTGGGGAGTCCAGGATCATGGCCCCGGCAGAGTCCGCGTCTGCCGAGGACCCACTTCCTCACTGACAGCTTCTTCTTGCTGTCGCCTCACATGGGGGAAGGGCAAGGAAGCTCTGTGGGGTCTCACTCGTGAGGACACTAAGCCCATGCGTGAGGGCTCCACCTTCATGCACTAATCACCCCAAAGGCCCCACCTCCAAACCCCATCCCACTGGGGATCAGATTCTGGCGCACGAATCTGGGGGACACATTCAGGCTACAGCAAATAAGAGAGAACTGGCTTTGACAGCTGCTGTCACAGGAGACTTCCTAGAGGGAATGTTCTTTACGGGCTGGGCTGGGGATCGGGGACATGACCACGTCCCTGCTGGATGGCGGGCCTGCTCCGCCCACCTCAGCTCTTGTCACGGGACCTGGCACTCTGTTCACAGACGCTGCCGGAAACGGCCCCTGCCACCTACCCCCAGACACACACGTACGTACGTGCGCGCGCGCACGCGGGTGTGAACAAGGCCCTGCTCTCCCCCTCCCTTTGCTGCGCTCCTCATCCATCCTCTATTAGATACTCCTTCCTTTTTGGATATGTCACAGGAGAAACATCCCTCTTTCTTTCTAAGGTGCCCTTTCTCCTCCTTCCCTCCTGGACTGGACCTGCAGATGCTCCTGCTGACACCTCTCATCTACAGACGGGCTCAGAGAAGCCCTCCCCGAGGACCCACGCTGAAGCAGGACCCCTTTATTGTCTGTCTTGGCCCCTTGTTTGTATCCTTGTTTAGAACGTGTATCTGCTTACCTGGCTCTCGGTCCCACAGGACAGGGACCTCAAGTCTCCCGCGCTCTCGTATTTCTAGCACAGAACACATGCTTATTAGCACAAGCACACACTCTAAGCATTTAATACATGATTTCCCACTTACTTTCTGGCTAAGTAACCTCTGCAAACAGCCTGAAAGAAGATAATGATATCGGTAATTTTTAAATCTCTTTCTTCCTCTAAGTGTGCCAGAACTCCAGCTCTGAAAAATATCTTGCTCTGTCCGATCCTGTACAAGTTTGGGTCCAATTCTAAAGCCCGGATCTGAGAGAGAGAGAGTCTGTTTGTTATTTTTGCTACAGGAAAGATTGTGTCAACAGCCCACGAACCAGAAAAATCCAGAAGAGCTTACCATGCGCTCACAAGCCTGTTTGCCATCCATAAAGCCCTTAGGAATAGCATTTGGAGTTAGGATCTCGTATCTGTAAGAAAAGCAGCCGAAAAGCCTTTTGTAAAAATCTGTGGAAATGTTTACCTACTATGAGTTCTGCTTCCCCTAAGAGGCAAGGATATGATGGGCAATCATGTCGAATGAAGAGTAAAGAAATGACCAGCTGATAATCTGAGGTTTTCTGCAGATCTAGTTTCTATCTCTTAAAAGCAGCAGCAAAATGAAAATGCACTCATTTCTCCCAAGTCAGAGACCATGTTTAAGAAGTTGTGGTGGAGAGGAATCAAAAGCATGGTGATTTTAGAAACTTTCTGTTTTTTATTTCCCACAAAATGTCCACATCCTCAAGATGCAAGCAGAATCTGGCTCTTTGCGTGCTGAGTCACTGTCAACTTGTAGGCATTTATTAGATAACAGAGAAGGCTGTAAGAGCAATGCTTGGAGGGCCTCTGTTTAGAACAGAAGGAAGGGGACTTCCCTGGTGGCGCAGTGGTTGAGAATCCACCTGCCAACGCAGGGTACACGGGTTTGAGCCCTGGTCTGGGAAGATCCCACATGCTGCGGAGCAACTAAGCCTGTGAGCCACAACTACCAAGCCTGTGTGCTGCAACTACTGAAGCCTGCGCGCCTAGAGCCTGTGCTCTGCAACAAGAGAAGCCACCGGGATAAGAAGCCCACGCACCGCAACAAAGAGTAGTCCCCGCTCACTGCAACTAGAGGAAGCCTGCGCACAGCAATGAAGACCCAACACAGCCAAAAATAAATAAATTAAAATTAAAAAAAAAAAAAAAGCACAGGAGGAAGTCTCAGGGTGACTCAAAACAGCACTGGGCTGGGCGCACATATGTTCACCGACCTGCACACTTGAGGGCTGTGCATTTACTATATGTGTGTTATACCCAAGAAAATAAATTTAGCACAAAGACAGTGGCTGTATTAAAAGATGAATCCTGGCTACTTCAACCAACTTTGTGTTTTGGATGCTAGTTATGTTCCATTTTCTTCTATCAAATAAAAAGTGAAGGGCTTCCCTGGTGGTGCAGTGGTTGGGAGTCCGCCTGCCGATGCAGGGGACACGGGTTCATGCCCCGTTCCGGGAGGATCCCACATGCCGCGGAGCGGCTGGGCCTGTGAGCCATGGCCGCTGAGCCTGCGCGTCCGGAGCCTGTGCTCTGCAATGGGAGAGGCCACGGCAGTGAGAGGCCCGCGTACCGCAAAAAAAAAAAGTGAAAATCTACCAGCTCGTTTAATCATATGGTGGGGCCATAATAAGGGTTTCCCTGAAAACCTGTAGGGATTGGAACAGTTTTTCAACTGGATTCCCTCTGGGGGAAAGGGCTACTCTTCGACCTGCAGCACCGTTTATTTTATGGAAAAACAAATGCTTCATATTTGGAAACTTGATTTCCAGGAGCAAAGAGGAAAAAGGCAAACTAGACTAACTGTTAAAGAAAATTACATAATACACTTTAAAAAAAACTGTTGCCCATCATATGTTTTTATCCATTTCTACTGCACACTGATCTTCTCCCTCTTGTTTTTTTCCTAATTCTTTTCTAATCTCCACCTATTTCCGACCCTACTTTAGTAAAAGGATTGTAAGAACACACACACGGGCACACACAGTGGGAAAAATATATACATACACACGTACACAGATATATTCATTGAAAAAAAGATGAAAAGAAATGTCCCAAAGTGCTTTTAGGAGTCACACCTGAATAATTTTTATTTACTTTTAACGTATTTAAAATTTTTCCTAAAAGGAACATACGTTATTCCTATATTTTATTTTTATTTTATTTTATTTCTTGCAGTACACGGGCCTCTCACTGTTGTGGCCTCTCCCGTTGCGGAGCACAGGCTCCGGACGCGCAGGCTCAGCGGCCATGGCTCACGGGCCCAGCCGCTCCGCGGCATGTGGGATCTTCCCGGACCGGGGCACGAACCCGTGTCCCCTGCATCGGCAGGCGGACTCTCAACCACTGCACCACCAGGGAAGCCCCCTATATTTTAAAACATCAGTTTAAAACAAAGTTATGCTTAAATCCCAGGTAGAACTGTCTGAATGAGTGAACTGTAAGTTCTCAGCTCTGTGTTTCCTCACAGCTGCCTCAGGGCCCCAAAGCCCCCGTCTTTGCTGCGCCCAGAGAAGTTATGAGCACCCTGCCTCTTTGTAAAGTAGGCACTCAATATTCCCGACCAACAATAAAGGGAATAATGATGACCGCCCTCCTGTATGAAAAGAGAACGGAAACCCTCCAGGGAACAAGGAAGAGTCTTTTCGCATCATCTCACTGTTTGATTCACATTCACATACGCTTTGATACACGCAGAACCCAGGTAAAGGTGAGCAATACCTCTGTCTGAATTCCTGGAAGACAATCCGGTTGGGGAATCCCTGGCGACAGATTCGGATCCCTTCCAGGACACCGTTGCAGCGAAGCTGATCCAGCACTAGGTGCGGGTCCAGTTTCCCAGCCTAATCGAGCAGATGACAGTGTTAGAGCTCCATCTCTGGGACCGGACCTCGATCCGCCTTCCACACCCGCCTCCATTCGGCTAAGCACGTACCCGCTTCTCGTGGTTTGGAATGATGCAGCGCACGAAGTTAGGGTTGGTGTTGCGGAGCGTCGCCATCAGCTTGGTGAGAGATTCTTTGTAGAGCTGCCCGACTGTACGGAACATGCCCTTCTTGGTTTTATAGGCAGAGCCAAAAGCTGTCTCCGTCATCCCCGTCACTTGGTCCAGACCCACGATCCGGTCCACTGGTGGAAATAAAAAAGACAAGCGAAAATGAGGCAACTCTAACTCTTGGGCAGGGAAAGAAAAGACAGAGTGAGAGTGCAGCAGCACAAGCTTGTGGGACAAATGATAAGAGATGCCATAGAGGTAGGGCAGTCAGCATATTTAGACACTGCACAAGCCGTGGACCTAAAAGCCACACACTTCTAGGGCAGGATACTGTAGCGCTTTGACAACTTCGTACCGCACACCAGCAGGTGCCTCCCGCTGCACTAGTTTCAGGAACTCACTGCCTGATACCATTGGCCTGTCACATATACAGTTATTTGGTAGATGCAAGATTACTGGCTGGCACTGATACACAAACCGACACGGTGACAAGTCTCAAAACAGGAAATGGCTTCTAAAAATGTACGTTAAGATATACGTTTATACAAAGCAAGTCCACTTAGTGAACATGCTCAGTAGTTAGGGACCAGAGTCATCTCTTACGGGTCATTAGATTTCGAAAGAGAAAGGCCAGCAAATGCAGGAAGATTGGATCACCTCAGCTCAGGTTTTTAGGAAGGAGTAAACTTCAACTCTCTCCTCAAAGCATGGATGACACTCATGAAAGGGCAAGAACGCTCCAGCGGAAGGAGTCTTCTGAAAAGTAATCAGTGCCCGAGCTCAGTTCAACGATGGTTAAACCTTTCAGACGCTACGCTCTTATTAAAGCAGCGGACAGTTTCCACTGTCCACACACCTAACGCTTCCCGTGATGGGATCACACGCAGAAGCCCGGCAAGTGCACCGGCCGCCAGCCAAACATTCGGTGCCTAATACGCTCACGTCAAAAAAAATCTGATGAGTGAACGAAACACACAACTGAAATACTTCTTTAAAAAACCAAAATATCAATTGAACTACCCCATCCACGCTCTCTTCGACCCCAGCAGTCCCCTCCGTTTCTCCCGTCTGCGCCCAGGGCAGAAAGCACGTGGGGACCAGGCACCACGTGAAGTGCTCTCTCAGCAACACCTCAGTCTTGATTCCAATCCTTGCTTTCCAGGGAGGTTTTTATGGAAGAGGCGACCATGGCCCAGGAGGTAAGGGAACTTGTCCAAGTCACGCAGGCCTTCCGCGGAAGCTGCGAGAAGGGTGGATGACACCTGCACACTGCCTACACTTTCCCCTGAGTGAAGCCACCAGACTCGAGGGTTGAGGTCAAAGCTAGCCCTGCCGGTGCCCCTCGGAGACCAACACTCTCCCCTGGGCCTTCAGCCCGTCTCTCCTCACCAAGCCTGCCCCTGCACGCGCCTTGACAATGAACTTCCGTGAGCCACCCGCTTCCGTCTCCTCAGAGCCGGGCCTCTTTCTAGGCGGTTCCCACACTTCCCGCCAGTTCCTCACTGTGCAGCCGACTGGCTTCCAGGCCACCCTCCCCCCACACCCCATTCCACTCAGGCCATGACAGGCCCGGGCCTTATTCAACTTGACCCTGGTCCATTTACCTGTTGACCATCACAGCAGCATTCTAGAAACTCGCCACGCCTGGCTTCTCTTGTGGACTAGGGACCCCACCTTCTCCTGGCCCTCGACCCACCTCTCTCACTACCACACTCTCCTTGATGACTTCTCTTTTGCGTTTTCTGTACATCACGATGCTCACTAAGGGCCCAGACTCAGCTCACCTAAAATCCTTTCTAGAATAAGACAGGACACAAGTGCGGGCAGAGAGCATTTGACCAGAATTCCTCAAGCCCCAATCTCATCCTGGGCAACCACATAATACCTGACCTCCCAGCACCAGTCACTGAACACCTATATTCTCCTGTCCACCCGGAAGTCACACAGCTGCCTCCGCCTTCCACACAGTGCCTCTCACGTCTGCTTTTCTCAGTATCACCCCCCTCTAACCTAGTGCAACGCCTGGCATATAACATGCTTGATACATGTATGTTAGCAAATAAATGAAGTAAACGTTAAATGCTTTCATAATTACAAACAGTGAGAAATGCACTGAAAGAAAAGAACAGGATGCTACGAGAAGGATGGGCGGTTAGAGACCTCTCTGGAGAAATTACGTTTAATGCCTTAAGGGTAAGGACGAGCCAGTGCGGAGATCACTGCAGGCAGTGGCAAGAGCAGGCGTGAAGGACCAGAGGCAGGAAGAAGTGCAAGCAGCTGGTGCCAGTGGGGCCTCAGGAGTGAGGAGGTGAGGACACGCACGCAATAGAGAATGGACTGGGGGAGGGGTCAGGGAGCAAGGCGTGGCCCATGCTGTAGTCCAGGCTCTGAGAGAGATGATGGTAGGCTGAACTTGGAAGATCACAGAGGAGATGGTGGAGAAGGAAGATTCCAGATGTGTTTTGGTGGCAGGACCGTCTTGCTCTTAGGATGAACTTGGTATGAAGAATATGGCAGAGGGCGAGGGCAGGAACTCCTGGGATTTGGGCTTGGGCAGGCAAGTGGCTGGTGACACCACTGGGAAGATGGGGAGAGAAGGGGGTTCTGTGGGTAGAAAGATGGATCCAAACTCTATTCAAGTTTGGGGCGCCCGTGACACGCTGAGGCGGAGATGTCAAGTGGACAGCGGACAGTCTGCTGCTAAGAATAGAGGTCTGAAGGAGAAAAGGTAGATTTGGGGGTTGCTGACTTGCAGGTAGGATTTAAAGTTACGGGACTGGATGAGCCCCCTAACGGGCAAATGACCAGAGATGGGGGCGTGGGGCGAGCCCCAAGGAGCTGGGGCAGATGGAGGAGTGGATAAGGAGGACGAGAAGGGGCTGGACGTAGGGGGGCTCAAGGTCAACGTCCTAAACTGAAGCACATTCTCCCCATTCCTCCTCCTGTATATCTAGTGCAGACGTGGCCACGGGTTACTCAAGCCAGAAACCGGGAGTCGGCCTCCATGCCCCTCCCACATCCAGCTGCTGATTTACTGGAACCAGTCAGGACAAGCTTCCGGAGTCTTCAGTCCATCCCTCCTCTCCACTGCCCTGGTCTGTGCGACAACGCCCTACCGGGTTCCTCCCTCTAGCCTCACTCTCCCATTTCATCCTCCACCCCTGCAGCCACAATGTGCTTTCCAGTTACACCTTCGTCACGATTAACAGCTGTGTCTAAAACTAAGCAAGTTCCTTGCTCCTAGACTTAAAATCCTTCCATTTCTCCTACAGCTTGTAGGAAACGGTCCAAATAACAGCCCAGCAGCAGAGCACAGGGATGAAGAACTCTACCCAGAGAGTCAGAAACACCTGCCACCTACAAGCTGCGTGAACTTGGGTCTAGTTACCCATCTTCTCCCAGCCTCAGTTTGTTCCTCTGTGAAATGGAGCCAAGGTGACCTACCTTACAGAACCGAGGTGCCTAGAAAGCGTGAAGTGCTCGGTGAAGGGACCTCCTGTCACCTTCCCTAGACGCCAACTCTACAAACCAGCTGCATTTTCTCAAAGACACAAAGCTCTCAAGTCTTCACCCTTTTCTGTCAGGAACCCCGCCTCCTTGCAAACTCATAATGGCTTTTAAATCTCCATCCCTTTCCCTACCACCTCTTCCTGTCCACCTGCCTCCAGGCTAAACAGGCCACTCCCTCCTCAAAGCTTCAAATCGCAGACGTCAGACCCTGGGATGACACTTCCACTCTGTTCCCTGTATATTCCTGCTGGACTAAGCTTCTGGGGACGTCTCTCTCCAGCATGGAACACACACGGGGTCCTGAGAGCAGATCCCTGGTGCCCCTGGGCCCCTCTGATCACCAGCTCAAATGGCTTCTTCCGCCTTCCCCACATCCTGACGTTGGCCTGAGCGTGGTCCCTGGCACATAGTAATTTTTTTTTTTAAACAAATATCCACTGAATGAACACAAAATTACCCACAAGAACAAGTCACGCCCATCACAAAAGAGAAGGAGCCCCAGGCTGGCTGCGGGGGTTTAGGCACACCGGTCTGCAGCTCTTTCCCTGAAGGGGCAGCTCCTCTTCCACAGGGCAGGGTGGCAGGGACCCGCGATGCAGCCCCGGGCAAGGACCACTTTTTTTGTTGTTTTTTAAGTAATAAACAAAAAATATAATCCTAATGAGCCTGATTTTCAAATTTAACTTTAATAAGGGTAATCCAAAGCTAAATATTCAGATTTTAAAAAAAGTAATGCTTCAAACTTTCAGTTTTTGTTTTTTTTTAAATTCAAATACTTAAACTCAGGGTTAGTTTCTACCAATGAGTAAAATTATTGGGTAAAAGGGAAACACTTTGGGAACTTCATTAAATGATTTGGGCCACACTAATCATATACGATTTCACTCAAAAATCAAGACCTAGGGCTTCCCTGGTGGCGCAGTGGTTGAGAGTCCGCCTGCCGATGCAGGGGACGCGGGTTCGTGCCCCGGTCCGGGGAGATCCCACATGCCGCGGAGCAGCCCTTGAGCCATGGCCGCTGGGCCTGCGCATCCAGAGCCTGTGCTCCGCAACGGGAGAGGCCACAACAGTGAGAGGCCCGCGTACCGCAAAAAAACAGTGAGAGGCCCGCGTACCAAAAAAAAAAAAAAAAAAATCAAGGCCTAGAAAAACCTCTGGGTTTTGGTTTGTTTTTTTTTTGCGGTACGCGGGCCTCTCACTGTTGTGGCCTCTCCCGTTGCGGAGCACAGGCTCCGGACGCGCAGGCTCAGCGGCCATGGCTCACGGGCCCAGCTGCTCCATGGCATGTGGGATCTTCCCGGACCGGGGCACGAACCCGCGTCCCCTGCAAAGGTAGGCGGACTCCCAACCACTGCGCCACCAGGGAAGCCCAAGAATGGCTTTGTTTGTCCTCCTCCTCCATCCAGGAAAGGCTGGTTAGGCTGCTGGTGGGCACTGCAATTCATTACTTGGTTGCCCAGTGGCCTGAAAAGAGTTCCAAGTATTTTATACTAACAACTTATTAATCAATAAACCCTACGCGGACAGTCAGAAATGAGATGAGCTCCACAGACCTGCGATCTCTAAGGGCATATTCATAGTTTAGTTTTACGTAAGGAATGGTGTCGTCTGCAGCCTGAATGCT